TATATGAAACAATTTCGTAACTATATATGAAACAACTTCATCAAAAAAAGTATTATATGAAACAATTTCACAAGATTAAACAATTTCATGAAATAATTTCATAAGATTAAACAATTAAATCAACGGATGAGAGTAGTTTTTACGGTTTTTATAAATTGGAGTGGTTTTCATTTGATCGCTCCTCTATATATGTATATATATATATATATATATATGTGTGTGTGTGTGTGTGTGTGTATATATATATGTAGATGAGCGATCAAATGCAAACCACCCAATTTGTACAAACTGTGCAAACCATCCTCATCCGTCGCTTTCATTGTTTAATCATTTACTATAAAAGCTCCCAGAGAAGTCATTAGAGGGATCTTTCCTATCAAAATTGTTTGTTCTTGGATATACCTACGCCTATCATTTTTCCAAATAAGTCTCGCGGATACATATAATTCAGAAGAATATGTGAGTGATTCATACACAGCATCTCTTTCCGTTATCAGGGGTTCTACCAATTGATATCTTTCAAAAAATAATTCAAAGTCAATTTCAACCTGTGCTCGAGAGATAGCTGTCCATACATTGATAAGGGAGATCGTGTCATGTAGGAACAAGGTTCAAGTCTACTGGTCTGTTAGGATGCCTCTCAATATCATTTGATTGAATAGTTGACCCAGCCCCTTGTTGTTTGAAAAAACCGATCCTCTTCCCCAGGGATCCCCGATAAGGGAACCTAAAAAAGGAGCAATAATTCCCTCTTGATTTGAAATTGTTTAATCTTGTGAAATTGTTTCATATAATACTTTTTTTTGATGAAGTTGTTTCATATATGGTTATGAAATTGTTTTACAAAATACTTAATGAAATTTTAATGAAACTGTTTGATGTATTTTTCTAAAATTAAAATAATGAAGACGATAATATCCATTATTAACACTCTGCACAATAAAAATAAATAATCAACCTCTTATAATTACAAAAAAATAAACAAAATGAAAAATTATGATTGGTTGAATGTGGTTTGCACGGTTTGTACAAATTGGGTGGTTTGTATTTAATCACTCATCTCTTTCTCTCTCTCTCTCTCTCTCTCTCTATATATATATATATATATATAGGGAAGGGTTCAATCAAGAAAACATTCATTTTACGAAAACGTGAGAACACTTTTTTATTATAGACAATCACATGTGATACTATTATTCCATCACATATGATACACATGTGATACTAAATCAGAGACGCGAACGATTTTCGATGCGATATTGGTTGCGGGCCAAGTCGTCCTTACACCACTAAGCCCCCTCACATGCATTATCACATGTGATGATGGTGTTGTTGA